GTGTTTACGTCGGTCATTAGAATTGAGCTCGGATTGATCGGAGGGCTACGGACTTGGGACGTGTTGACGGCGGTCCGTGTGAAAGCATGAATGGCCGGTGTGCCAAATGGGCCTGAGGCGTGTTTACGCGGGCTGTGAGAATGGACCTGAGGCGTGTTTACGCGGATCGTGTGATTGGGCCTGAGGCGTGTTTACGCGGGCTGTGAGAATGGACCTGATGCGTGTTTACGCGGGTCGTGTGATTGGGCCTGAGGCGTGTTTACGCGGGCTATGAGAATAGACCTGAGGCGCGTTGACGCGGGTCGTGGATAGTTGGTTGGGCACGTGTGCGTAATGTGAGTGGTTGGATTGGCTGGATGAATATGTAGATATTTGGTTGAATTGGTTGAATGTACGTGTGGATGTTTGGTTGGATTGGTTGAGTGCAAGTGTGGATGGCGCTCGAGTGATTGTGTTATATTCTCGGGATATTATTGCATTATCATGATTTGACGAATGTGCAGTGTGGGCATGTGATTGGATGGCGAGGTAAGTCAATTTATGTGAATTATATATATGTAATCGGTTAGATTGCATGCTGAACTTGTCTGGGTACGCATTGGCCTATGTGGGGTTTAGGGGTCTGCTTATTGAGATTAATCTCATTCCCGTTGTTAAACATTTTCAGGTTTGAAGTGACGGATAGTTGTCACGTGCGGTTCAGAGACCGGGAGTGACCTTGGGCATCTGATGCTTCGTTTCATCTTTGGATGCCCCTCTTTTGTATAGCGAAGTAGGATACCCAACCACTGTTCCCTTTTGATGTTGTGTATTTGAAATTATTGTTTTGTGCTATCCCTTTGTTATTATTTATTGTCTGGGTTATTTAATTTCCGCTTCCGCTTATGTTTGTCTTTGCGTGTTTCGTTTGGGTCGGCGACGCGTCCTGGGACGTCGCATTCAATACGACCATCTAAGGGGTGTCGCGAGCCCGTTGGGGTTCGGGGCGTGACAGATGCCGAGGCTGTCCTATGCGTATCTACAAGTTCGTCAGGAGACGAATGGGTGCTAGATTCCGGATGTTCCTATCACATGACTCCTCATAGGAACTGGTTCACTACCTACCAGACTGCAGATGGTGGTAGAGTTCTCATGGGGAATAATGCAGCCTACAAGGTTGTGGGGATAAGGACAGTTCCGATCCGGATGCACGATGGCGTAGAGCGGACACTGACAGACGTGAGGCATGTACCGGATCTCAAGAAGAACCTTATTTCTCTGGGGACACTCGATGATGTCGGGTGTAGATACACCGCTGAAAGTGGAGTACTGAAGATCTCTCGAGGTGCCATGATAGTGATGAAAGGGAAGATGGTAAATTCTCTCCATCATCTACTGGGAGAGACCGTGACCGGAGCTGCTGCAGTTTCATCAGGTGAGTCAGACTCAAATTTGACTCAGTTGTGGCATATGCGATTCGGACACATGAGTGAGGCTGGAATGACAATGCTGAGTGAAAGGGGGTTGTTGAAAGGTCGGAAGACGGGGAAGCTGGACCTGTGTGAGCACTACATCTTCGGGAAGCAGCGCCGTGTTAAATTTAGTACAGCTATGCATTCGACCAAGCAACCGGTCGAATACATTCATTCAGACGTCTGGGGCCCGTCTCCAGTTCCTTCGAAAGGAGGTGCCCGATATATGCTGACATTTATCGACGATTATTCAAGGAAGGTATGGGTATACTTCGTAAAGCACAAATCCGAGGTGTTTGATCGGTTCAAGAATTTTGAGGCATTGATTGAGAAGCAATCAGGTAAACAAATCAAGTGCCTGAGAACCGATAACGGCATGGAGTTCTGTGGCAAAGATTTTACTGAGTTCTGCCAAAAGGAAGGGATTGTGAGACACCGCACAGTTCCCGGAACACCACAATAAAATGGCATTGCAGAACGGAAGAATAGAACTCTACTTGAGCGAGCTCAGTGCATGCTTTCGCATGCAGGACTAGGCAGGGAATTTTGGGCCAAAGCAGTGAATATGGCATGTTACCTGGTTAATCGATCTCCATCATCTGCTATCGAGTGAAAGACTCCTGAGGAAGTATGGTCGGGGAAACCTGTTGATTACTCTGGATTACGAATATTCGGATGTCCAGCGTATGCTCATGCGAGTGATGGTAAGCTTGAGCCGAGGGCTAAAAAGTGCATATTTCTGGGTTATGCACAAGGGGTGAAAGGCTACCGGCTGTGGTGCACTGATCCCAGATCACCCAATTTTCTGATCAGCAGAGATGTGATATTCAACGAGACTGCAATGCTTCAAAAGAGGAGCCTTGAGACTCAACCGGCAGAGCAAACGAATCGTGGTGTTAGTAGCGAGGTGCAGCTTCAGGTGGAGCCTCCGAAGACCTTAGAGGTAACAGAGGAAGAGACTGCGGATGAGGCCACAGTTCCTGAAAACGGTGATACTGAACAATCAGTAGAGCCACAGCACAATATAGCCACATGCAGACAAAGAAGGCAAATCAAACCACCGGTACGTTATGGTTATTCTAATATTGCCTATGCATTGACTGTAGGTGATGAGGTGGAGGCAGATGAGCCTTCGTCCTACTCTGAAGCGATGGCTAGTACTGAGTCGTCGCAGTGGCTAAAGGCTATGAGTGAAGAGATAGAATCACTCTATCAGAATCAGACATGGGAACTAGTCAAAGTACCCAAAAGCCAGAAGATTGTTGGGTGCAAATGGGTCTATAAGCGGAAGGAAGGCATTCCTAGTGTTGAGGTAGCAAGATACAAGGCGAGACTTGTTGCGAAGGGGTATACTCAGCGAGAGGGCATCGACTACAATGAGGTGTTCTCTCCTGTGGTAAGACATACTTCGATTCGTATATTACTTGCCTTAGTTGCTGCACAGGATCTCGAATTGGAGCAGCTAGATGTGAAAACGGCATTTCTTCATGGAGAGTTGGAGGAACGAATTTACATGAGGCAGCCAGAGGGATTTGCTATTCCGGGTAAGGAAGACCATGTTTGCTTATTAAAAAAATCTTTGTATGGGCTGAAACAGTCACCTAGACAGTGGTACAAACGTTTTGATTCTTTCATGGCTAGTCAAGACTATTCGAAAAGTCAATTTGATAGCTGTGTTTATTTTAGGAGACTAGAGGATGGGTCTTTGATTTATCTATTATTATATGTTGATGACATGTTGATAGCAGCTAAACATATGTCTGATATTAATATGCTGAAACGGCAGTTGAGTACAGAGTTTGAAATGAAAGATTTAGGTGCTGCTAAGAAAATATTGGGTATGGAGATTTTGCGTGACAGGGATGCAGGAACGTTGCGTCTATCTCAAAAGAAATATATTGAGAAGATCGTGGCACGTTTTAATATGCAATCAGCAAAATCTGTAAGTGCTCCTTTAGCCGCACACTTTAAACTTTTTAACAAGTTATCACCGCAGACTGAGGAAGAGGGGGAGCATATGTCCCGTGTTCCTTATTCTAGTATAGTGGGTAGTATCATGTACGCCATGGTATGCACTAGGCCTGACATTTCACAAGCTGTAAGTGTTGTCAGCCGATACATGAAGCACCCAGGTAAGACATATTGGGAAGCTGTGAAATGGATCCTCAGATATTTAAAGGGGACAGCAGACATCGGTATTGTGTACCAGAGGGACGACATTGGCAGTAAGACCACAGAATATGTGGATTCGGATCACGCCGGTAACTTGGATGACCGTAGATCATTAGCGGGGTACGTGTTTACGCTAGCAGGTGGTGCACTAAGTTGGAAGGCGTCCTTACAGGATAATGTGGCCTTGTCTTCGACTGAGGCAGAGTACATGGCACTAACCTTTGTGGCGAAAGAGGTGATATGGCTAAGAGGCTTGCTCTCAGACCTTGGACTGGAGCAAAAAAGTGTCACTATACATTGTGACAATCAAGGTGCGATACATCTGGCTTATAATCCGATATATCACGAGCGAACGAAACATATCGACATCAGGTACCATTTCATCCGAGATGTCATAGCAAAGGGCAAGATTGTTGTGAATAAAATAGCAACAGCTGAGAACCCGGCAGACATGATGACGAAGCATGTTCCTTTGGCAAAGCTCGAGCTCTGTTTGAGCTCGATTGGCGTCTGCAGAGAATGAGCGCCCATCGGGGCGTTTGGGAGAGCCGGCCTGGATAATGAGCACTATGATTTGGCTGCAAACGTCGAATCAAGGCGGAGAATTGTTAAATTATGTCTCGAGTTTGAGCCCACACGTGAAAAATTTATTGTTCAAAGTCGTACAAAACGCAATGATGAGCAGACAAAGAGGAAGAAGCAATTCTGGATATTCTCTGCGCATAAAAGAAATTTTGGCCATATTTGTCCTCTATTAATTAAATGAGCCCATGACTTGACTTTGCTCTCATGCATGTCAATGGAGCTGCGTCCATTTTCTTCTTCCTCATAAATGCATGCGCATGATGTGAATGCATGCACTTAGAAGAACGTGGGCACCGAACTTCTCTTCCTCCCTTCTGGTCAATTTCTGTGGGCTTCATTTGTCCTTTTGTTATTCAATGAAGGAAGAAAGAAGGCAGAAGCTATGCTCATTTTCTCATTGGCGGTGCATGATGGTCATGCGTACACACCATCATTAATTGCATGGACTTCTGAAGATTGGGCCATTTGTTCTCCTATAGGAGGAAAACCGCGGACGAACAGATGGAAGCTCGAGGGAGAAATAGCCGAGAGACGAGAGAAAGCTCCAAAGAGCGAGAGGCTTGAGCTGTGCGAGATTTGTACGTAAAAGTCGAGTCCATCAAGTGGAGTTGTTAAACACTGTGGATATTGGGTATATATATAAGGCTGGAAAATATTTAAGCGTGAGTGATTGTAATCCTGTAATTCTCTGGTTTATTAATGGATTATTTGCCGGTTCTCCCCGTGGACGTAGGTTCCGACATTCGGACCGAACCACGTAATTTCTCGTGTCCTTTTGTATTGTTCCTCGATTTATTTCTCTATCGTTTCTACGGCTCCCGACTTAATTGCAAAGTTACGATCCGCTTCCGCCGCATCACCGATCCTATAACACATTTCGTAGTAAACACTACCGCCGTCATCTGCTTCGGTAAGCAATCGAGACAGCAAGTCCCTCGCGTTTGCATCTTTTCCCTCTGAAATCTCCTGCTTCCTTTGTCTAATAATGTTCAGAAGCTCTTGCCTTATTACTTTTCCTCCTTCAACTGCTTTGTTGAATGGCGTGCCGGGAACATTGATGGGCACCGAAGTGAATCCCGGAGCAATACGAGCAAATGGGTCGGCGAATTTCGACACGACCTTAGGGTCCTTAATGTTCATGAACAAGCGGCATGCCAAAGCAAATGTGTAGTTCTTTGTCAAAGGAAACACCTTCACTTCCTTATGAGGAGACCAGTCACTCTCCAAGTGCTCCCTAGTCATGGAGTCCATGATAGGTATGTAATGTTGGAGGGCCTCGGGTTTTAGGAATTCCGGCAGGAAGCTGCGCATTTTCTTGGGGTCATCCTTGTTGAACTTCTCCATGGTTTCGGGGAAGATGGCGACCTTCTTCATGGAGGTGGGCCACCAGGTGGTGATGTACTTGTTCTGGCTAGAGAACAAGAACTTGTTGCTGGCGGCCACGCAGAACACGGCCATGTCCTCCCCGAGCAACGAGGTACGGAAGACATCCGGTGAGTACTTGGCGGTACGGTCATTTATAAATTTCTCGGGACAACCGCTCTTCGCCGCACCGACAAAATCAAGGGACTCGCCGATAATTGGCCATCCCCTTTTGCCGGGCGGCAGGTTAGGAGCGGAGGATTTCTTTAGGAAGACGAGGAAGAGAAGGTACAGAGAGATGTAGAGGACGGCGAGGTATAGAAACAGTTGGGAATAGAGCTCCATCTTCTCAGTCAAGAAGACACAAAGCTAATACTGAGAGGAGAGATGGCTGAGGATGGGATGGCGAAGGACCACCACGGATTGTCCCTATATATAGAGGAAGATGGCATTGCCATGCAGCACTTCATGAGGATTTTTTCTATAAAAAATGATTATTGAGCTTAGGTTACGTGCTTCGACCTCTTCTGCATCATGAAATTTTCATGACTTGATGTGACAGACAGCGATCGGTCTCCGAAGTTGAAACTGCCTGGAAACATGACCTTCGTTTTCTGGACCAGGTAAAAAATACATTAATAATCCAAAAAGGTTGAAGAATTGCTACGACTGTCGTCGATACTAACTCGGAAGTATACCTTGTGAAGGGAGATCATATGGAGGACTGCCATATTAGTATTATTTGGTTAATATTTGTAAGCCTTAAGCCCATAACAGCTAAAGAAAATATTTAAACCTTAACAGGAATACTTAATGATTTTCCACAGAGTGTACCAGCATTTCAATATTGACAGTAATATTTGGTCAATGTTCGTAGCCCTTAAGCTCGGAGGTGTACCCGGTGAAGGTAGATCTTATTGAGGACAACCCTAGGGTTTGTGCTGGTCATATTAGTAATATTTGGTCGATATTCAGTTTGTATGCCGGCATTTTAACATGATAGAAACATGGTCGTATATTATGTTTTGAATTAGGTTTCTTGACTAGTATATTAGCTGAATAACAAATCCCCAAAACGATGTAAGCACTCGATGTTTTCCATCTATAAATCTATCAATCACTTATGTTTGAAACTCATAAAGTATCAACACATTTTATCCTTTGAATGTTATGGTTCTTAAGTTAGTGAACAATTATGGAAGTTTAAATATATATGCATACATATATTTTTTTTTTTCTGAAAATGTGAGAGCATTAGTTCTCATTGTATAGTAGATGAGAAATGTTGTACCGACATTGTATGTGACAAAAAAAATATTTTCTTAAACTTATTTGTACCGACAGTGAGGGCGTCATTGCCCTCACCCTCACTGTGAGGGCTCGCGATCCCTTGCATATTTGGCGAGGGCCGACCTTGGCCGGTGCCAGTGAGGGAACCAAAAAAGAAAAGAAAGAAAAGAAAGAAAAGAAAAGAAAAATAAATAAATAATTAAAAATAATTAAAATTTGTCCATATCAATGCCGCCCATGCCACATAGGATGGCCGGTGCTGACTGGACTATCATGTCAGCGATTTCCGATCAAAATTAATCGAATGGACTCAATTGGCAAAACGTGAAAATGTTTAGGATTAAATTGACAAAAGTGCAATAGCTCTTGGGATTTTTGGACAATTTTTCCCTGAAAAACTCAATTTTTTTCTTAATAGGTTTCATAAATGTTAATGTCAACATAATATTTGTATCAAAATCATTATATTGTTTGGTTGAGTCTTATTATGAAAAAATATTTTCTTAATAATTCCAAAAAAAATTCAATAACAATTCTTGCAATGCTAGATCATATAATATGATATGTTATAAGTTTATTCTCTTTGTTCTATTAACATTTTGATCAACCTTGATCTTCGATAGATTCTTTCTATAATCATGCTGATAGGTGATTTTCTTGCTAATTGTATTAGTCATTTATATTTGGCTATAAACTCTGTAGATTTGTTTTAACATTTCTCTAATTTTGTTATTGTTCATTTCGAATTTAAAAAGTTTATTAATTCTCTATTTTTTTGAAATGTAAAGTTCTTGTATTTTCTCATATTATTTTTACCCTTATATGTTTGAAAGAACTTAAAAGAGTCGAAGTGAGGGTGCATAATATCAACCACCTATAGATAAATATAATGGGTTATCAACATTTTCTTATCTATTCTTACCATCTATGTAGATGTCCTAATTACGAGGCACAACATTTGAACTTAATTTACGCTTTTTCGCTGAAATGAGCCGATGTATTCCCCCTATGCTTTCTGACTTGTTCCTACAGAACCAAGGTCGAAAAGACGAGTTGCTAGAGATGTACGAAGTTACTATTGCAGATTAAATGCTCACGTCGTTTTTGTTCCCCCGACAGGTGATGCATTAAACTCATTTTCTTTGCACGTGATTCAATCAGTAAATGCTTAGCAGCCATAACGGGCCAATTCAATTCAACAGAGAGAGTGACCTTAGTGCATGTGATGGAGACGGGAGTGGAAACTTCGAATTCATCGTTCCATGAACTCAGTCTTTCTCAATCTGAGGGATGGTTGACTCTTAATAGTCTCTCCAACGTTGATCCGCAAGTGTTGACTAGAAACCATATTAAATTAACTGAGGACCGGGCCTCTTAATCTAGAATCACTCAGCTTCATCTCGCCCGCCATAGGTTTTCCTACCGCTTTCAAAAACAATTTCAAAGAGGTCCCACTTTTCAATTTTAGTTGGGACTTTTATTTCAGTGAGGCCCCCTGATTATTGCCCCGATCATAATTCCCTTTTTAAATTTTCAATTCGGAATGACTAATAATGAGAATACTATATTTGATTTTTATGTTTTCCAAACATCCAATTTTACATAGGTCCTCCGTTAAAATTTCGACGAATGATATTTCCCCCCCTCCCCTCTCTCTCTCTCCCAAAAGAATAAAAGTCAATAGTGACACTTCACGATGGCAAAAGCTACCGCCACCGGTTGCATCATGACGGCGTCTCCTTCTTTAACGTGGCAGATCTTAACACACACAAATCTGGGCCCAATTTCCTAATAAACCCCTAACATTACCCTTTATCCCAATTATATCCCAAACTTTTTTTTGTCTTATAAAAAACCTCAAACTTTTACTTTTGTCTCAAATCTACCCAATTCACTTTTCGTCCAATTTTTTAATATTATTTTTTATTTTTTCGAATTTTTTTTTATTTTTTGTTTTCTTTTCTTTTTCCCTTTCCTTTTTTTTTTTTTTGTTTCACCTTCGGCGGTCGCCGGTCCGGCGCCGGCAGCTCTAAAGCAGCAGCGAGTCGCCCCGCCGCCGGCGAGTGGCGACCTCGCCAATAGCCGGCGGGGGCCGACCTCGCCAATAGCCGGCGGGGCCGAGCCTCGCCGTGGCGGCAGCGAGGCTCAGGCCCACGCCGGCCGGTGAGGCTCGGCCTCGCCGTTCTTTGGGCGAGGCCGACCTCGCCGGTTGGCGGGGCCGACCTCGCCAATATCACGGCGAGGCTCGGCCTCGCCGGCCGGCCGGCGTGGCGAGTTCTCGCCAGATCCGGCGAGGCTCGGCCCCGCCGGCGCGAGGTCGGCCTCGCCCGAACGGCGAGGTTCGCCTCGGCCGACCTCGCCGTTCTTTGGGCGAGGCCGACCTCGCCGTTCTTTGGGCGAGGCCGACCTCGCCGGTTCTGGGGCCGAGCCTCGCCCAGATCCGGCAAGAACTCGGCCACGCCGGCCGCTGGCGAGGCCGACCTCGCCAATAGCCGGCGGGGCCGAGCCTCGCCGTGGCTGGCGAGGTCGGCCCCGCCGGCAACTGGCGAGGTCGGCCTCACACACAAATCTTAACACACACAAATCTGGGCGGACACTTTGGAGTCTAGACCCCGTTGGCCTCTCCCTCCCCTCACCAAAGGTGGTAACGTAATTTAAACGCATAGACACGAACTGCAATTCGCAACGAGTAAACACTCTCAGCAGAAACACATAAGGAAAACTCTCGATTTTATCAATATCCAAAGGGTATGCATATTTTCTTTTCTATGATGCTTGTATAACGAGTATACAATTTTTCCATCAATTTATAAGAATTATAATTACCTAAGTCGATTCCCCGTTAAAATGAAGCTTGCAAACTCACCTCTGGACGAAAATAGTCCATATTCCTAGGAATGAATACAACAAGACACTTTCGAGTAATCAGCATTATAAATTCTTGGTTTTAGGATGGTACAAATAGGTGACATTAATTCGACTAAAAAGGATATTTTACAGTGAGATTAACATAAAACCTTGTATTGATTGTCACGAAACAAGAGAACTTTGATACAGAAATAATCCCCAATGTTTGCCTCCTCAAATATATAAAAAAGAAGATAAGAAAGAAAGAAAGAAAAGCAAGACACTTTGACCGATATAAGATCATTGAGACGGTAATTATTTTTTGTTTTTGGTCTACCAGATGTGTTCCTGGACTTTGGAGCTCCTCTACAAGGAATTTGGCGAGCCCCTAGTGGGTCCACAAGGAAAAATCCCATAAACCCCCTATCTGAAGGAGTGAAATTTCGAACTCCCCACCTTCCTATTTTCATGTGGCAATGGTGGCCACCGGGAGCGGTTGTTAATTAGAAATTTAAATTGCACATTAACTTGATCATACAGAACAAAAGGAAGTTGTCACTTTCGGACATTTATTCATTTCAAGATCCACAGTTCGAGAGCTAAAACCATGGAATTAACTTCCGTTCCAAATGCTGATCAAATCCTTTGTGTTAAGTTTTGTAACATGAAGAAAATGGAGGTTAAATTAATTTGGTAGCTTTGAAAAATTCAAATTTTTTGTGAGCACGATTCGAAGAGAAAATTTAAATTCAACATCGTTACGACATTTTCAATCATCTTTTATTTATTTTTTTTGAAATGCACTTATTAAAGATATAGTTAGGAGATTCTTCATATCTTCCTTGAGTTCATATATCTCTATAAATTATGCATATCATTGATTGATTATCTAAAATTTTATTACTGTAGATAGTTATCTCATATGGTCTATAAAATAGCCCATGTACTATTCATTTTGAAACACGCAAAAAATATATAAACGTTGCACAATTTTCTCTTATGCATATCTATACTTTGATGCAGGAAATGCTTCCTCAAGCGTTCTAACTCTAAAAATATCATAAGACAATCATCTCTCAAAAAATGTGGAAAGAGATATCTTCTCACAATTACACACCAACTATAGGCCCTCTAAAAATTTCTTAAAAGGTTTTGCGTACGTCATCTTTATATACAAACTGATTAGTATAAGATGCGTTCTTCTTATATAGTTCAAACGATTCAAGCTGACCTAGAGTCGAAGAATTACAATTAGTGTAGGCAATAATAATAATAATAATTACCCATAAAAAATTATTAAGCACACTCCTAAAGTTCCAAATTCATTAACTCTGCTCAGCAAATCCAATTACGCTCGAAAAATAGTTTTTTTTTTTTGGGTCATTCTCGGTCAATGGCATTTGGTTAGCCGCTATCGTTATGACGCGTCTTCACTTCTTCACGTTGTTCCACGTTGACGGAGTAACTTTTAGAATATTAAATGCCATTTTTGTCGTTGAAGAGAATGTTAAGTACGAGTTCATATATCTTATGGAATTATTTATGCTCGTCAACTTTGACCTGTGGACTAGAGAGCCGTGGATGGTAACTGTTTTTCGTTCCTTGGCGTTCCTTTCTTGAATGCTTCTCCAAGTTATTTGAGTTTAATTAGTACTAGCAAAAAATCAATTCGTGAATGAACTGTGCTTTCTTAAATGACCTATGAAAAGTCATTATAAATCGTGAATATTATGAAAGTATAAAAATATTTGTGGCGCAAGTTGTGATATTATCACTTCCTCGAGTATGCTTTTGTGGCACTGGTTATGACTTATGATGTGGTCCAAATTCAAGGTTCTGGATCAAGACATGATCAATGAAGATGGATATGTTCTTCAGCATTGCGAAATCACTCGCTATAGACTATCATCTAAATCAAATTATGTAAAAGGGCATCAACACTCGCGCCCTTAATTAGATTACAAAAGGAACAAATTATGCAAAAGAAATGAGGGAAGATAGAGATATATTGAAGGAACGAGATGAAAATTTTATTTTTGATCAATAGAACATTATTACACCGAGGAAAATAAAATAAGAAGACTACGGTAGTAAATATAGAAAAAATCTTGGGTATACAATGTGAGTATGCGTATTTGAGCTCTAAAAGATTTTAAGATGGTATGAGTAAGCTAGGATATTAGTTAAGTGGTTGGAGGCGAATGCGAAGACCGTTGGCAGGGACCGGTGAGGGATTGTAAATGATCTTCTCATCTGGAATGACCTTCTTGAGCTTGAATTTCGTCACGAGATTATGTATGAAAACGAGTATTTCGAGCCGAGCATACTCTTTCCCAGGGCACATGCGAGGTCCGCCTCCGAAGGGAACGTAGGTGAAAGGTGCGGGTCCAGTTCCTTCAAATCTTGAGGGGTCGAATTTCTCAGGATCAGGGAAGTACTTGGGGTTCTTGTGAGTTGTATACACCGTCCAAAACGTCTGCAAGAAAAAAAAATTTGAAGAAGATCAATGCATATTATCACTAGTTGATCCTATGTATTGATTTATTGGATAACTATGCCAAGAAAAAGGGTCGTAAGTAAACAATTACCTTCCATCCCTTTGGAATTGTGTAACCAGCAAAAGTGAAATCGGTGATGGCCTCCCGGAACGCCCCTTGTGCAGGTGGAGTTAGCCTCATTGACTCACAAGCCACGTTCCATGAGTATTTCATTTTCTGGATATCCTCCCAGTTCAGTAATTCACCCGGGGCTTTCAACTTTGCAATCTCCATTTGCTCTGTTGACGTGAAGCCAGTGAGTTGAATATATGCAAACTACATTGATTTTGCTTCAAAAGAACATAGTGGCTAGAATTGTTACCTGTGTAAACTTTCTCATAGATGTGGGGCAACGAAGCTAGATAGTTCACTATTACGGTGATAGATGTACTGGTAGTGTCGTGACTTGCAATGAGCAATCCAATGATCTTGTTGGACACATCCATTTCGTAATAAACACTGCCGTCGTCATCTGCTTCGGTAAGCAATCGAGACAACAAGTCCCTCGACTTTGCATCTTTTCCCTCTGAAAGTTCCTGCTTCCTTTGTCTGATTATGTTGAGAAGCTCTTGCCTTATGACTTTTCCCCCTTCAACTGCTTTGTTGAATGGCGTGCCGGGAACATTGATAGGCACCGAAGTGAATCCCGGAGCAATACGAGCAAATGGGTCGGCGAATTTCGACACGACCTTAGGGTCCTTAATGTTCATGAACAAGCGGCATGCCAAAGCAAAGGTGTAGTTCTTTGTCAAAGGAAACACCTTCACTTCCTTATGAGGAGACCAGTCACTCTCCAAGTGCTCCCTAGTCATGGAGTCCATGATAGGTATGTAATGTTGGAGGGCCTCGGGTTTTAGGAATTCCGGCAAGAAGCTGCGCATTTTCTTGGGGTCATCCTTGTTGAACTTCTCCATGGTTTCGGGGAAGATGGTGACCTTCTTCATGGAGGTGGGCCACCAGGTGGTGATGTACTTGTTCTGGCTAGAGAACAAGAACTTGTTGCCGGCGGCCCCGCAGAACACGGCCATGTCCTCCCCGAGCAACGAGGTACGGAAGACATCCGGTGAGTACTTGGCGGTACGGTCATTTATAAATTTCTCGGGACAACCGCTCTTCGCCGCACCGACAAAATCAAGGGACTCGCCGATAATTGGCCATCCCCTTTTGCCGGGCGGCAGGTTAGGAGCGGAGGATTTCTTTCGGAAGACGAGGAAGAGAAGGTACAGAGAAACGTAGAGGATGGCGAGGTAAAGAAACAGTTGGGAATAGAACTCCATCTTCTTCTCAGTCAAGAAGGCACAAAGCTAATACTGAGAGGAGAGATGGCTGAGGATGCGATGGAGAGAGACAACCACGGATTGTCACTATATATAGAGGAAGATGGCATTGCCATGCAGCACTTCACTTCATGGGGGGGGCGGGGGGGCGGCGGGGTTGGGTTTTCTATAAAAAAATACTTATTGAGCTTAGGTCACGTGCTTTGACCTCTTCTGCATTGTGAATTTTCTTGTCTTGATGCAACAGACAGTTATCGGTCTCCGAAGTTGAAACTGCCTGGAAACATGACCTCCGTTTTTCTGGACCAGGTAAAAGAAACATTAATAATCGAAAAAGGTCCAGGCATTACTACGACTATCGTCGATACTAACCCGGAGGTGCACCTGGTGAAGGGAGATCTTATGACTGCCCTAGGGTTTGTGCTGGTCATATTAGTAATATTCGGTCAATATTCGTAAACCTTATTTGGTCATTTGTTGAAAGAGGTTCTCATACTATTTTTACCCTTATATGTTTGAAAGAACTTAAAAGAGTCAAAGTGAGGGTGCATAATATCAACTACCTATCAATATATTATGGGTTATCAACATTGTCTTATCTATTCTTACCGTCTATGTAGATGTCCTAATTACGAGACGCAACATTTGAACTTAATCTAGAGTCACTCAGCCTCATCTCGCCCGCCATAAGTTTTCCTACCGCTTTCAAACACAATTTCAAAGAGGTCCCTCTTTTCAATTTTAGTTGGGACTTTTATTTCAATGACGCCCCATTGATTATTAACACGATCATAATTCCATTTTTAAATTTTCAATCTGGAATGACTAATGTGACAAAGCTATTTAGAGAATCTGCGGTAAATAGACAAGAGAGAAGATGGAAGAGAGGAGAAATAGAGAGGAGAAGAAAAGTGGAAGAAACAGATCGTAAAAGCCAACAATGGGTTGGCGGCTTCAATTACCGAAGCCCTACTCCTATCGCTTATATTGAATATAAATTGTATATGATCAAAATACCCTTATGTAAGTAAAAAGAAATAAAACCTAGAAAATAAAACTAAAAACACTCAAGTAACGTAACACTCCCCCCCCCCCCCCCTCAAGCTGGAGCATATAGGTCACCCATGCCCAGCTTGGAACAACCAGCAACAAAGGCAGGACGAAACAACGCTTTAGTGAACGTATCAGCAAATTGATCTCTAGAGGCAACGTAAAGAGTAGCAACCAACTTCCGCTTCACAGCATCACGAACAAAGTGACTATCAACTTCTATATGCTTGGTTCGCTCATGAAAAACAGGATTCCCAGAGATATAAATAGCTGCTTGATTATCACACATCATATTAATAGGTTGATTAATAGAAAATCCAAGCTCCTAGAGAAGGGATTTCAACCACAACAATTCTGCCACAGTACGTGGCATAGCACGATATTCAGCTTCTGCACTAGACCTGGCAATGGTAGTCTGTTTCTTGCTTCTCCAAGTAACTAAATTATCACCAAGAAAAGTGCAATACCTAGTCGTAGACCACCGATCACACGCTGAATCAGAGTAGCCAACCAGATTGGAAGAATCATTCGGTTTATAAATCAATCCCTTACCAGGAGAGCTTTTAAGGAACCGAAGAATGCGACAAATAGCATCCCAATGAGCCTTCTTGGGTGACTCCATAAAGTGACTCACTACACCAATAGCAAAGGAAATATCGGGTCGTGTAACAGTAAGATAAATTAGTCTCCCAACTAGACTTCGATATCGATGCTTATCTTCAATATCATCTCCATCATCAACTCCAAACTTTTGATCTGGATCCATAGGAGTATCAACTGGCTTGGAAACTAGTGTACCAGTGTCAGATAAAAGATCAAGAACATAATTTCGCTAAGACAAATTAATACCTTTCCTACTTCATAAACTTCAATACCCAAAAAATACCCAAGAGCTCACAAGTCTTTAATCTGAAACTGCTGCTGAAGAAAAGACTTGACTTCAGAAATGCCTATCACATCACTGCCAGTGACAATTATATCATCCACATAAACAACAAGAACGATCACTCTTGATTCCTTCTTCCGAACAAAAACAGAATATTCAGAATAACACTGGTGGAAATCACTCTTGGAAATCACTGAACTGAATTTCTCAAACCATGCTCTTGGAGACTGTTTCAACCCATAAATGGCCTTATGCAGCCGGCATACTTTACTATGATTCTCCCCCTAAGCAACATACCCAAGAGATTGCTCCACATATACTTCTTCAGATAAATCACCATAAAGAAACGCATTCTTCACATCCACTTGATATAATGGCCAATCAAAATTCACAGCAAGAGAAATAATTACACGAACAGAATTAAAACTTGCCACAAGGGAAAATGTCTCAAAATAGTCCACCTCATAAGTTTGAGTAAAACCTTTAGCAACAAGTCGGGCCTTAAGACGCTCAACTGAGCCATCCGGGTTGTACTTCATGGTGTACACCCATTGATACTTCACCACATCTTTCCCGAGAGGAAGATCAACCAAAGATCACGTCTGGCGGGACACCAGAGCTTCCATTTCCACATCCATAACTCCTTCCACTCAAGATGAGACAAGGCCTCAGTGGTAGAGGTAGGAATTGTGTGAGTATGTAATGATAGAGCAAAGTTATGCAATGGGGAAGGAAGCTGTGAAATAGACATATAGCGCTCGATAGGGTAAGCAAAAGAGGATTTTTGTGTACAAGAATGAGAACCTTTGCAAAGGGCAATCGGAAGATTGTTCGAACCAGGAGACAAGGAGGGAGATTGGACGGAGGGCATGAAAGAGCTGGAGATTGGTGATGTCGTAGATTGCTTTCACCGCTGATACACCTACAAGGGAAGAGACACAGGAGAAGGACTAACAGAGTCTAAGGGGATAAGTAGTGGGATAGGAGGATCGGCCACAATGTCAATTGAAAACTCTTTACCCTCAGCAGAATAATATGGTGTGTCCTCGAAAAAAGTAACATCAGCACTGACATATTGGGTACAAGTCATAGGATCATAAAACCGATATCCTTTTTGAGTTCGTGAATACCCGAGAAAAACACATTTGGAGGCACGAGGGGATAGTTTATCAACACCGGAACGTAAGTTATGGACAAAACAAACACACCCAAAGACACGAGGGGTAAGATGGAATACTGGCTTGTCAGGAAACACAACACTAATCAGTAATTGATTATTGAGAATAGTGGAAGGCATACGATTTACGAGGTAACAAGCAGTAAGGATGGCATCACTCCAAAATGATTTGGGGACATGCATATAAAACAGGAGTGAACGAGCAACTTCTAGAAGATGATGATTCTTTCTCTCAGCCACACCATTCTGCTGAGGGGTATAAGTACAACTTGTTTGATTTATAATGCCAAGATTAGAACAAAATAAAGAAATTGATTTTTGTGAGTATTCTAGAGCATTATCAGTTCGCAAAATTTTAAGGATGTATTAAACTGATTAGTAACTTCACGATGAAATAATTTAAAAACAGATAAAAATTCAAAACGGTCATGAAGCATATAAAGCCATGTTAGACGAGAATAATCATCCACAAAAGTAACAAAGTACTTAAAACTATTTCTACTATCAATACACAAAGGCCCCCATATGTTCGAATGAACAAGTTCAAGTAAAGTAGATGCATGAGAATCACTACGACTAGGAAAAGAACTACGATGATGTTTCCCAAGTTCACACGCCTCACGCTTAAGAGTAGAAACTGATTTACACTCGGGAATTATTTGTTGTAACTTAAATAAAGATAAATGTCCTAAACGGGAATGCCATAATAGGGGGGGTAGTAGAACTAGCAGCCAGACCATTGGCGTCAGTAGTAGAGACACCATCCAGATAGTAGAGTCCATCACGTTCATGCTTTCCACCAATCGTCTTCTTTGTTTGAAGGTCTTGAAAGATGCAAGAAGAGGGGTAAAATGTAACAGAACAATCAAGAACTTTAGTTGACTGACTAACAGACAACAAATTCAAAGGAAGTTGGGGAACATGTAAGACAGAGGACAAAGATAAGGAAGGTGTGAGTGAAACATCCCCTGATCCAACCACCTGAGTAGAGGAACCATTAGCTAAAATAACTTCAGATGAAGAACTATGGTGGGAAGAGAATAGTTCTTGCTTACCCGTCATATGACTAAAAGCTCTTGAGTCAATGACCCAGGTGCTAGGAGACAATGTAGAGAAAAAGGCCATGTTACCTGTACGTGCAAGAGTTGCAGTGGATGAGGAATTGGAAGCCTCTAGTTGCTGGACACGCTTGATAAGTTGTGAATTCATATCATCCTGAGCCATAGACTCTGAAGAATTACCCCCAGTTGGGATACATGAATATGTGTCCCCAAAAGAGACATTTCTAACACTCCCTTCAAACATAACAGCATTTGCAGTAACTAATCGTTGAGCCCACTCAGGCTTGCCATGCTTGGTCCAACAAGTGTCAACATTATGACCAGATTTGCCACAGTATGTACACTGACGGCTATCTCGATCAAAATTATATCCACTATGTCCACCACCACGGCCACGGCCTCCCCCTGAACCGCGACCTCTATTAGAAAATCCACCACGACCACGACCACCACTACTAGCCAAAAGTGCTGAACTGTCTTTAGATGATGTAGAAGATGAAGGAACAATGCGCTGAATCCCACAAAATGCTTCATTCATAGAGGGAACTTTCTCTCCAGCAAGAAGTTGGCTCTTCACAGGTTGCAAGTCAGTATTCAACCCAGATAAAAACTTGGCCACTTGAAATTCAGCCCATTGTGTCTTTAGTCTCTCAAGATCAGTAGTGATGGGCTGATAAAGATTGAGTTCTTCCCATATACCTTTCAAAGCACTGTAATACTCTCCAAGAGACTTATCCCCTTGTTTAAAATTAAATATCTTCTCATATAATTCATGGACTCTAGACATGTTTTTGTCTTGTGAGTAGCTCTCCATAAGATCATCACATGCTCCCTTGGCAGTTGTGTGGAACATAACATTAGCAACAATGGATGGTTCCGTGCTGTTCCATAACCACACCAAAAGTGTATCATTCTCTCTCATCCGGTCACCATAATTTTTAGAATCTAGAGCATGGGGGTCTGTTGTAAGATATCTAAGTTTCCCTTTGGCATTAATATAGACCTTAATAGCTTGAGCCCATAACAAGTAATTAGAGGTCCCATTTAATTTAATGGTGGTAATCTGAACATTGACACTGTCTGTAGAACCCCTAGTATCACTCATGGTGATAATCTCAATATGAATATATCTACCACAAATCAAGAAGACCAAAACTTCAGTGCAAGAAATAAAAAGCCCTTGGCTCCATATAATCAATACCGACATATGATCAGAAGCAATTGGCTCCATCGATTTCACAAATGGGATGCTCAAATTTCAGAAATATAGGCTGCTGTATAAAAGAAAAAAATCTCACCAGAAAAAAAATCCCCATTAAATTAATTATATTTTCAATGGAAATCCTGCAACACCGATCATAATCAACGAAAAATTTTGATCCTTGAATCCGCTGATCAGTAAGTGTTGTAATCCATAGCCGCAAACAGAACCTCGTGGATCTGATTTCTCCTGGTCTTACATGTATCGAGACTAGAAGAGAAAAATAGCTAGAACTTACAGCTTTGGATGGCTACACACTAGAGAAGAAAAGTGTTATTAGGGGACTCTCAAACCATCAGTAGGATCAAGGAATTGGGTAGTCAGATCTGCTCTGATACCATGTGACAAAGCTATTTAGAGAATCTACGGTAAATAGACAAGAGAGAAGATGGAAGAGAGGAGAAATAAAGAGCAAAAGAAAAGTGGAAGAAACAGATCGTAAAAGCCAACAAGGGGTTGACGGCTTCAATTACTGAAGCCCTACTCCTATCGCTTATATTGCATATAAATTATATATGACCAAAATACCCTTATGTAGATAAAAAGAAATAAAACCCAGATAATAAAACTAGAAACACTCAAGTAACGTAACAACTAATAATGAGAATGCTATCTTTGATTTTTATTTTTTCTAGACATCCAATTTTTCATAGGTCCTTCGTTAAAATTTGGACGAATGATATTTGTGTATTCGCAGAACACCACCCCCCCCCCCCCCCCCTCTCCCTCTTATCTCCCAAAAGAATAAAAGTCAATAGTGGCACTTCACGAAGGCAAAACCTACCGCCACTGATTGCATTGCGACGGCGTCTCCTTCTTTAATGTGGCAAATCTTAACGCACACAAATCTGGGTGGACACTTTGGAGTCTAGACCCCATTGGCCTCTCCCTCCCCTCATCAAAGGTGGTAACGTAATTGAAACGCGTAGACGCGAACTGCAATTCGCAACATGAGTAAACACTCTCAACAGAAACACATAAGGAAAACTCTCAATTTTATCAATATCCAAAGGGTATGCATATTTTCTTTTCTATGATGATTATATAACGAGTATAAAATTTTTCCATCAATTTATAAGAATTATAATTACCTAAGTCGATTCCCCTTAAAATGAAGCTTCCAAACTCACCTCTGGACGAGAATAGTCCATATTCCTAGGAATGAATACAACAAGACACTTTCGAATAATCAGCATTATAAATTCTTGGTTTTAGGATGGTACAAATAGGTGACATTAATTCGACTAAAAAGGATATTTTACAATGAGATTAACACAACACCTTTTATTGATTGTCACGAAACAAGAGAACATCTATACAGAAATAATCCCCAATGTTTGCCTCCTCAAAAATATAAAAAAGAAGAAAAGAAAGAAAGAAA